CGTCCAACTCAGTCGCGCACATCGTGGGTCGTGTTCTATAACGACGCTACGTGTGTTTCTCCGCAAAGATGCGTAGACGGGGCGATCCAGTGCCGCAAACGCGTTTTGAAGCCCATTCTCTTTTGCAGAAGTGTCAGTCAGATCAAGATGCGTCTGGTTCCAGCTGACGAGGTTTGCCACGCGACGTCGAAGGGACCTGTATCGGCCATCTTGGTCGCGCCTTGCAGGTGAAAACCCGGCAGGTAGTCTAGAGACGTAGTTGTCGAGTCGCGCACGTTCCAAGGCGAGTTGTTTCGAATGTCTCTCGGCTCGCAAAGGTGTGCGTTGAACGGAAGATGAGGGAGCACGAGTGCGATTGGACTGTGCCCGACGAGCTCGAGGTCGCGAGAGCGTCTTCTCATCCGCTACGCCTTTATTGCTGGATGTGGTCGTTGCGTATGAGCGGGCATACTGGCGAGTGAATGTCGATATATCCGCATAGAGGCGAGTGATAGAAACAAGACCGTCAGGTCTTTTGTTCCAATGGCCAGACGTCCGTAGGAGCCCCGCAGCAGGAGCGTCTTGTATCGGTCGCTTGCGACATGTTGGTACAATTGTCTGTCGGGGGCTCGAGATAAAGTCCTGATCTTCCACCCTATTGTGTTCCTCTAAGCTTTTTGATCTATCCTTCTCTTTGTCCCGTGTTGTGCTAGGCCTTCCATGCTGTTGGCTGTGTGCTTTCGTCGTCGATGACTGGGCGAAGACTCTCGGAGCGAGGAACGGCAGGATGGGAAAGTCGGCGCTGGCGATAAGGCTAGCATTGGGAACGCGAAAGCGGGGCATGAGAAGATGCAGGTGCTGTCGTCTTCACGGAGCCATGACGTGTCAATTGCAAGCAGCTGGTGAGGACGGCGAGGAGCACGAAAACTTGAGAAGGTGCGTGTTTGGTAAGAAGCGCTAACCGGAGAAGATCTTGGACTCCCGAGCTGTTCTCCGCAGCCACACGACAACCACGATCACTTCAGCAACCACCCAGCACACTCTCTGTTCTCTCCGCGCATTCTCAGAAGGAATTTTGTGCACAGAATCACGTCATAGACCAGTTTTGGACACGTCCCGACCCTGCACGCAAGCACACTCCTGCCCGGCGCAACCGCAAAGCTCTCACCATGTCTTCGCACGAAAAGCTGTCCGCAGCCGCCAACGACCGGAAGTCGCGCCTCGCACAACTCAAGTCGCTGAAACGGAAACAAGAACAAATATCAGACGCGCCAGAAGTTGCCGACTCGCCATCCACGCAGCTCCAGGCCGAGACGTCGCAAGCTCTCACACGCACAGAAGAAGAGGAAACATCAGTAGCAGCCACATACCTCTCCGGCCGAAACTTCGATGCGACGACGCGTAATGTCAAATTGGGCTTTGACAATACACCAATCGCCGACCCCACAAACACACTGGAATACAAGGCAGAGCAGCTGGCGCTCGAGACAAAGGCGCAACAAGAAGCAGAAACCGCAGAGGACAAGGGACTGGACTTGTTCAAGTTGCAGCCCAAAAAGCCAAATTGGGACTTGAAGAGGGATTTGGAGCAGAAGATGAAGGGACTCAATGTGCAAACAGACAACGCAATTGCAAAGCTAGTCCGCGAGAGAGTGGAAGCCCAGAAGGCCATAAGAGAGAAGCAGCCGACAGACGGCAGCAATGGAGAAGAGGTGGGTATGGAGGGCAGTGAGCTGGTCGAGGCCATGCATCTGAAGGAGCAGGAGGACGAGCGGGAAAGGAAGAGGGACGAGGAGGACGAGGACGTCAGTTGAGAGTGTAAAATACGGTGGACGCGATTTGATTCAAGACGGGAGTTGGCCAGATCAGTGCACGCAACCTCGACGATCGGGGTTGCGTAAGGACGCAGATAGGAGGGTGTCGAGACGTGAGCAGACGATTGGACGATACCCAAGTCTAGTCACAAGAGGGGACAAGAGACTTGCTTTCTACAGTCCATCATGGAGGACCAAAGTTTTAATATCACGATCAAGCCACAATTATCGCGTACTCTCAGACGCTATCCTCCCCCAACAATCACGCGAACGATATTTTCTGAAGATAGCAATCAGAAACACAACAGATGTGCTTAGACTTGGCTCATTGTATTCGTCTCAAGAGCAACAAAAAACATAGAACACCTGGTCTTCGCTAGTAGTCCGTGGAACCTGACATCCGGCAGCGCGCGGAGGAATCGTGTCGCATAGAATAGATACAAGAATTGGTTCTCTTTTGCGCCGTAGACGAGCTCTTGCTGCCCGTGAGCGTCCTCTGCACTAAAAACGTGGCGTGTGGACTGGACAACTGAGGACAATCATTGACCACCAGTATATTATACTTGCGACATCTCTCATCTGTGAGATTATCTTTTCGTTCAGGTCGTCGATGTTACGGAAATTGTGGTTCGTTTCGCTCTGCATCATCGCAGTACCATGGGGTGAAGTGGATGGCTACCAAGATATGGAATCGCACACAGATGTGAGTCAAAGATCATTGACCACCATGCGATATTCCTTATAGCTAAACACGGTTGAAGTCGAGGCAATCATATAACTTAAGTCAGCATGTGTCTTAATCGCAGCGGAACCGGGACACCTGTGCGTTGACTATAAAAGGAGCGCCCTGCGCATCTCCATCATCAATCCCACCACCAAAACCCGAAAATTCGAACGTGCGCGATTCCTCCTACCATAACTACTGCCAAAGAAATTTCTATCTCAGAAATGACGGAGAGACACGATGGCATCGCCTTTCCCTGGCCCTCGTTGCCTGCAGATATCCGTCTTTCAATCCTCGACGAAATCTCAGGTCAGAAACATCCTGGCTGGGCTCAATGCGCAGCCGTCTGTAAGGAATGGCAGGTCATTCTTGAACCCAGTAATTTTTCCCGACTATCATTGCAGCCATCCTGTCTAAAAGAACTGGAAACCCTCGTTATCCGACAAAGGCCTCTTGTCAAGCACATCTGTTTCAATATCGCTCTTCCTCGATACGCCTGCACCCGTTGTAAACGAAGTGCCACCACATCCAATCGCAGGTCTACCCTCGTTAGGATCATTATTCTAAAACTCTTTTCTGTCCTAAGTACCTGGCAACCTACAGGTCAATTAACACTCGAACTGAGCGCATCTTCGCCAAGTGACTCACAACATTGGTTCAAAAACTACTGTTTTGGGCCCGGACATGAAGACACAAGACTCTGGACGGAACAGGAGAAAGCTGTTCGATGGCATGACCCAAAACACGGCTGGGTTGATGGTCGGCAGGTTGAGACTCCCAAGCGGCGCGCCATTTTGCGCCTCTTCTCCCCGCTCTGCTTCAGCGCCCCCCAAAATCTCCCTGCCGTTCATGCCGTTACAAGTTTCTGCATACGTCGACAACTTCGACATGAGCTTTATCCCCACGTACTAGGAGGCTTGTGGGAGAAACCCCCTCGGCTAGAAAGTATAGTCCACGAGTCGTGGATTGTCCGGCACGACTACCCGATTGAGTGTGCATATAGATTGACCTCCTTACTCCAGTACAGTGTTCCAGAGTCCGTCAGGAGATTATCCATCTTCAAGGACTTCAACAACCAACTTAAAATGGCAATTCACAAGTCTAAGCCACATATCTCTACGCCACATTGGCGCTCAAGTTTAGAAGATGCCTTAGCTGCAAATTTAAAGCTAGCCAAAGCTCTTGCCGCCAAAAGCCACCATCTAGAGTGCCTTTTTATTTCATACATGATCGACGCCCAGCAGTTTTTCACTTCATGCCAGCAGCTGCCATGTACCTGGAATCTCCTGCAGTCCTTAACACTCACGTCATCCACACTGGCCCGGACAGCCCCTCGCCAAGATATTCATACACTGTTGCAAAACGCTAGTTCGGTTGCGCTCAAGATGCCGCAGCTCCAAACCATGGTGCTCTGGAACAGTGAACCAGGACAAGCCTGTGCGGTAATTTATCAGCGACATACTGCAAGTGCGATAGCGACACTTACATGGCGTGGTACATGGAATCTTGAGCTCAGCGAGGATGTTGTTGAGTCCTTGAAGGAGGTTGCCTCTGATGCCTGCTACCTACGGCTGGAAAAGGAAGAATTACATGACGTGGATTTCAGGTCCCATGGTGATGCAATTCATCATCTGCGCTTGCCGGATGGAGTTGTTGATTCAGAATCACTGTGTCAAATACGTCACGAGGGAAGGATGCAAAGAATGGCCTGATCAATGCATTTGTACAAAATTCTATCGTCCTAATAAGAAAAGGTGAAGAAGAAGAAAGGCAGTGGAGAGAAAGAAGAGAAAAAGTGTGTGAAACAAAGAGTAGAAGTAGAAGTCAAGCGTACCTAGGTAGCGTTTACATTGACCAGGAAGACATAGGCTTCTTCTACAGTACCTAACCTCAGATGTGTGTCGGCTAAATGGTCTTCGATACAAGACGCTCATGGAATTGCCCCCAGAAGAATGATCGTGATGCCAAATTCTCGTACTGGACGTGTCGCGTCATTCTACACGCTGGAATCCACGTACAAAGACGATTGATTCCTGACTAGAGAATGAGGTGTTAGTATCCAATGCAGCGTACCCCTTCGAGTTTACTGCTCTAACAAACTCGCACAGAGCGGCTCGATGTTTATGAAACAGTATACGTGATTCTGTGTATATACCGAGGGGGTCGCTAATATTATGTAGTGGTTGTCTACTGTTGCGTCTTGTTAGAAGTTTACCCTTGCGCGGAGGGTCGGTTATTCAGACCCGCCCCTGTCATTCACGAGTCAACCTCGGCATCTCCACGCGCCAAACTTCCACGGGTGTTGCGGATGCGGGGACAACCGTCGCGCTATATACATCACCATGGAGCGCGTCTCGCTATTCTCCACTATCTCCGTTCTTTCAGAACCACCATAGTTCGATTGTACTGCTACGTCTCCATCGCACTTGCTCCACCGCTAAAGCTCCTTCGCATCCCAACCTTCACAACTCACAACCGCCATCATGGTCGGCAAGAAGCAGCCCGTCTACGTCCTCGGCGTGGGCATGACCAAGTTTATCAAGCCTCGTGGCAAGGTGGACTACCCTGAGCTCGGTTTCGAGGCCGGCGTCAAGGCCATGCTTGACGCGCACATCAACTACGACGAGGTCGACCAAGGCGTCGCATGCTACTGCTATGGCGACTCAACTTGCGGTCAGCGCGTCTTTTACCAGTTCGGCATGACTGGCATTCCCGTATACAATGTCAACAACAACTGCTCGACTGGCTCGACCGGCCTCTACATGGGACGCAACATGATCGCGCACGGAGCGGCCGACTGCGTCTTGGTCGTTGGCTTTGAGAAGATGTTCCCCGGAAGTCTACAGAGCTTCTTCCAAGATCGCGCAAACCCGACAGGCACAACCAGCCTGATGATGAAGGAGACGAGGGGTATTACCAAGGCACCGGGTGCTGCGCAAATGTTCGGAAACGCTGGACGGGAACACATGGAGAAGTGAGTCCGAACGTCTGGACCAACCCGTGTCTCTATACTGACCATCTTCGTAGATACGGCTCCGAACTCAAGGACTTCGCAGAGATCGGTCGCATCAACCACGCCCACTCGAAGAACAACCCCTACTCGCAATTCCAAGACGAATACACCCTCGAACAAGTCATGAACGCACCCATGATCCACGAACCCCTCACAAAGCTCCAATGCTGCCCGACATCCGACGGAGCTGCTGCCACAGTCCTGGTCTCGCAAGAGTTCCTAGACAAGCGCCCCGAGCTCAAAGACCAGGCTATCCTGATTGCTGGACAAAGACTAGCAACCGACACACCGTCACTGTTCAACCGCAGCGCCATTGAGCTAGTAGGATACAGCATGAGTGAGCTGGCTGCTCGCGAGGCGCTCGAGGAGGCCAACGTATCACCAGACGACGTCAAGGTGTGCGAACTCCACGATTGTTTCTCTGCCAACGAGATGGTCACCATTGAAGCCCTTGGCCTGGCTCCCAAGGGCAAGGCTCACGAACTTATCCGCAAGGGTGGCATTACCTACGGCGGAAAGGTCGTCATTAACCCCTCAGGCGGTCTGATCTCCAAGGGCCATCCCCTCGGCGCCACAGGTCTCGCTCAATGCGCTGAGCTCGTTTGGCACATGCGTGGTTGGGCCAACAACCGATCAATCAAGGATACAAAGGTTGCCCTGCAACACAACTTGGGTCTTGGAGGCGCTGTAGTATGCACAGTGTACAAGAGGCACGACGGAAGCGCCGCAACAGATAAGTCAGATGAGCAGATCGCCAAGATCACTGGATTGGGATACAACCCAGCGACAGTCGCGAAGGGCTTCACAAAGGAACAAGTTGATGCTGTGAGGAGCAAGAAGGCGAGGAGCCAGTGGGCACTGCAAGACACAGAGCAAAAGGTTGAGGCGAGGTTTTAGTTGAGTTTCGCTGTAACTACCATGGTCTTTGAATAGCGCTATTGACTACATATATCCATCGTGCCTACTTCACACACGCTCTCCCCATGCTGCTTCAACCATATTGACCGTGATTTCACGCGTCAGTACACAAAATGGAAGGAGGCGTACTTACCTAATCCAATCCTTCCATCTTCTCACACCCACCAAGCATCCACCCACCAGATAACAGTAAGAAACTTCGGTCGACTTACCTGCCAGCAGATGCCAGACATCTGATCTCGCAGCGCCCAGCGCAAGGAGATTAATCCAACGGTATGAATATATTAAGAAGAAAGAGTTGAAAGAAAGAACCCCCAGAGCCCCGTTCAGACTCAACCCAAGCTAAAGATGATGGAAAGGTTTAGACATCAACGCACACCGCAGTTTCGGCTCATGTTGAGCAACATGAACTCGAGGGACTGTTGAGAACGGTTCAGCCGCTCTGTCCACAGGGATTAAGAGGGAAAGCGAAGGTCGAGTGGGTGGCGGAGGGGAGGTATGCGCCGGTTAAAGAGCGTGATGGTTCGGAGATGGATGACTGGACAACTTGGTCCGGTCCGCTGTCACTGAGTGGTAGAAGACACCCGATGTCGATCTTGTCTTCAGTGCCGATGGTATCTTTTTGAGTTTTTGTAGTTATGGCGAGACCGTGAGCTCAGTTGCGCTTTGTGATGGAGTGAGAAGAGGTCTTGGAGGGGAATGAATGGCGAGAATGGAAGCCGTCTGCAAGCGGGACTGGGATCTATGTAGGTGTTAGTGGAATGAACAGCGTTACACACATGGTTTTGGTGGATGTGGGTCGTGGTGGTTGCTTGGCGGTGTTGAAGTGTTGAGCGTGGGAATGGGAGTGGGGTGGAGAGAGAAGGTTATATACCGTCTACAAATGTTTGCTGGAACAATGGAATATCGGATTCGCGTAGATATGACCACTGATTGCTGCTTGATTGACTCAAAACGGGATACAACAAGGAGACTATAGCAATCCGCTTGTCTTTCGTGCTAGACAGTCATCTAGACGGAAGGACACTCGCACGTTGTCGCATCAAGACATCTCCCCACACGAACTGAAATGGAAGGGAGTGGCAAGCAGTTCCTGTCTGAACTTGTGATCATGATTTGGTATTTCGAGTTATGCTCGAACCTTCGTTTCGCCATATGCAAAAAGACGCCCAATTTTTGATACCCCAGAGTGATAATTGTCCAGCATAATGCAAGACAGAAATTACAGAGTAAGACCGTAGAGTAGAGTAGTATGCAACTTCTTCCAGGCTTGCTTCTTTAGCAGCCGATAGTGCGCTATGCCCAATCTGTGCTCAAAAGTCGGGATCCTCCATTATGATGCCAAAGCTACGACGGCGACTGATCAGAGCAGTATCATCGGAATCCTTCTTATGTTGAGGAGACCAGCGATCTCTCCTTGTCTCGCGTCCATCACGCTCAGAAGCGGAAGCATTCTAGGCACCGCTCGCCACACCACGTATGTTGATACCACCACCTCCTCCGCCACGCCGATCAGCAGATCCGCGGATGTTGATTCCTTCCTGGCTGCGTGCACGTCCTTGGCCACGGATGCTGATATCGTCATCGCGTGTGATGCGATCAGCGAGACCTCGTCGAGGCTGTGACGGCTCAGAGAAGTCGGTGACATAGGGATCGCGGTCGTCACCCTTGAGGCGACCAAACGACTCAGCGGGATCGTCATCATCGCGTGTGATCCTATCGGCTAGCGACCGCTTCTGTTGCGGGAGCACGGGCTGTCCGTTCTTGGTCATGCGAGAAAGTAGCGAATCCCCTCCTCGTGACTTGTTTGATCCGTATGTTGCGTCGATGGCGTTTGACCGGTGGTGGTTATGGCCCATTGGCGAAGTGTCAAGGAAAGAGTCCTTCTGCCAACGTCCACCACTCGCAGGGCCGCCGCGATCATAGTTTGCCCGGTCGTGTGTCCAGCGATCCATGCTGGGTTCACGGCGACGGCGAGTGTTGTTGCGGCTGCGACTCCGGCTGCGGTACCGACGGCGGCCCGCGTGGGTCTCGTTCTCTGTGAATCCGAAGCGACCGTCGCCTTCTTCGTCGGAGGCAGGGGAGGCGCTGCGTCCTCGTAGACGGCCGAAGCGTGGCTCTTGTGGACTGGGTCTGTTAGCTTGTTGACAGGGTCACGGGGCAATGCGCTGAAGTACCTTCTTGAGCCGGGTCGGTAGGAATCAACGTCGTCGTTCCTGAGTCTGCCATCAGCGGGCTGACGACCTCCTCTGCCACCGCGACCTCGGACTTCTCGTCCATCACGGCCATCACGGTTGTCTCGTCCGTTCCGGCGCGGGCCCCTTCGGTCAGCGCCTGAGTCGCCCATGGACTGGTCTCGGCTGTACCCCCGTCTTGATCGGTCCCTGGAGCCCATTTCCTCGTCGCCATAATCGAGATAGTCTTTCTGCGGTTTTTGGTTCCGTCGCGGCTCCCTCTGATGGTTGCCAGCCACGTCTGGGTTGCGTTGATAGTAGTTGCTCTTGGTCGCTGCGCCCTTCGGCTTCTGGTCGCCAGCGTTGGACTGCCTGATGACGAGGCGACTGTTGGGCTTCTTTGAGTATGGTTGCGCTGTGCGGGGCTCTTGTAGTGAGAGGTTGCTGGTGTCGCCTACGTCGGAGTGAGTGAGGATGCCTAGTGCGACGGTCGCGTCTTCCTTATTGTAGAATTCGAGGTTGACCGAGTTGTCGTTTACCCAGCGTAGTTGCTTAACGCGCGGGTCTGACTGGCAATGCTCCATCGCCCAGTAGAGGGGGTCGTTGGGGTCAAAGTCGCTCACGCCCTGGAGGTTGAGCGATTCGGGCCATGCTTCGTGGACAATGATGTCCTCAAGGTAGGCGGCGGGTATGTTTTGTTCTTGCTCGGCCGGCTCCTGCGATGGCGCGCATGTCAGTCAATTGCGCCTTCTCGTGCAGCCTGGCGCAATGCTCACCTGGACAACCTGCTGTGGTTGCGACGGCTGTGCTACCGGTTCAATGTCTGCGCCTACATCAATGTCAATATCGTAAGCGACATCAGTCATGTCCGTGTCGTCCATGATGGCGGCTATATTTCAAAGAGGTCCGGCAATTCGGTGAGTTGGTGTTGTTGGAAGTTCGAGAGCTGTACAAGCAGCGCGCCGCGGTCGGTAAACTCCAAAGCGCGGGCGGGCACTAACGTCATCACGTGCGTGATTGAAACGCCCCGGCACAATATGATTGCCCGATTTTGTGTCTCACCACCAACAATAGCATAAACATCAGAGGGACGGTGAAACGTGCAAGCAAGTCAAGTTTGGGTCAGGGTCGTGATTACACCCTGTAGCGGACCTACCAAGCTTGAGGGAAAGCCCCCTAGAAGCTAGCCACGACGCGTCACAGTTGGAAGCGATGTGTATGCTCGAGACAGTCACCACATCCGAAAAGCGCCTACCATCTCACGACTGCTCCTCCAGCGTAAAGGTACCCGTCTTCGTGATGAGGTACTCATTCACTGCGACATCCTTGCCTGATTCTTTGCCATACCCGGATTGTTTGATGCCACCAAATGGCGATTCTGCAGCAGAAGAGTTGCCCTGGCACATGTTAGTATACTTTCCGATGTCTTCGTTGTCAACATACTGTATTCAGTCCGATCATGCCGGCCTCCAGATTCTCAAACAGTCTCCAGGTACGATCAACGTTCTTTGTGAAGCAGTAGGATGCGAGACCCATACTGGTGTCGTTTGCAGCCTTGACAGCTTCATCTTCAGTCTCGAACTTGATGAATGTACTGATCGGGGCGAAGGCTTCCTCATTGGCAATGTCCATGTCTGGTGTAACGCCGGTAACGACAGTAGGTTCGAAGAAGTAGCCACCGTCCTTCTCCACCTTATTACCGCCGGTATGAATCTTCGCGCCTTTCTTCTTCGCATCTTCGACAAGAGCGAGTGCTTTCTCGACACCCCGTGGAGTAGTCACTGGGCCCATCGTCGTCTTCTCGTTTGAACCGTGACCGACGACGATCTTTTGTGTCTCTGCGTTCCAGCGTTCGAGGAACTTGTCGAAGATTCCAGACTGAACGTATATCCGGTTCGCCGTAATACACGCCTGACCCGCATGTCGGTACTTCAAGGCGAAGATCTGAGTCAAAGCTTGCTCGATATTCGCGTCGTCGAAAATCAGGACAGGGCAATTGCCGCCCAATTCGAGTGTAACTTTCTTCAGATTGTCTGCACACATCCTAGCGACTAGCTTGCCAACGCGCGTCGAGCCTGTAAACGTGACCTTGCTCACAAGCGGATGCCGACAAAGCGCCTCACTGAGTTCTGGTGTCTTGTCGAGATCTGTGGTCAGGACGTTCAACGCCCCCTTTGGGAATCCAGCCTTTTGAGCGAGGTAGGCCAGTGTGAGTACAGTGATCGGTGTCTCCGGGCTGGGTTTCACTATCATCGTGCAACCCGCAGCCAATGCAGCGCCAGCTTTGCGAAGAATCATGGCGATGGGGAAGTTCCATGGCACTAACGCGACAGCGACACCAAGCGGCTGCTTGATCGTGAAGATGCGTCTGTTTGGTAGCGCGGGTGTGAAGACACTGCCTTGAATACGCTCGGCTTCGCCAGCAAACCACCATGTGAAGCCCGTCGAGTAGTCGATTTCTCCATACGCCTCAGCTCTAGGTTTTCCGGTCTCATACACAAGAATAGTCGCTATGTCTTCCCTGTGCTCCTTGATGAGGGCATCCCATCGGTAAAGCATCTGTGCTCGTTGTCGCGGGCTGATCTTCTTGTACTCCTGGAAACATGCATGCGAGCTGTTAACAGCATCGTCGACATCAGATGCATCGTTCGTAGGACATTCTATCCACGGCTTTCCTGTTCCAGGGTCTGTTCGCCTGTCAGATCTCGGTGTTTATATAGGTAAACATGCTGTGATGACTGACCGACCACTTCGAACGTCTTTCCCGACTTTGCTCGTACCCAATCGCCATTCACAAAAGATAGGCTATGGAGCAAGTCTGGAGAGTTCAGCTGGAATATATCAGTGCTAGTTCGATGCCACGATCAGTCTGTGTTGACGCACCTTGAAGGGTAGCTCGTGTTTCCTGTCTGACGCCATTTCGTTCTAAGTTTCTACGTATCGTTGACCAAAGTTGGTGAATGTGGAGTGAAGTTACCTGGAGGAGACGATCTTGGAAGGCGCATGGATTCCGCGGCCACCATTATCAGCATCTGCACACAACAGAGCTTCCCCACTTTCCAGCGTATAGCCTACATGAGCAATGCGCGTATCTGCAGCGACATCCGGATATTTCAGGAAAGGCGATCCGGAGAGACGCCGCAGACGCAGACGTTCAAAGCAGCGAAACGTCGGCGAGGACGGTCTCCAATTGGCTCAAACCTCGGTGGTCCTCCAACACGACGTCAACTCCATGCGGGGCACCACGCTTACCCCTCACTGCTGTGCTCGACTCCGAAGAACGACTAGTCGACCGACGATGATTGGAGATGCGATACCGGTGGCAGACATCAGGGTCCATGAGATGGCAGGCAGGAGCGCCTTGTTCCTTTATAATCAAAACATCAACATAGTCGCTGGCTATAGAGACTCAACATCGACCCTAGCAATTCGAATATATATTCGAGGAGATACAACTGACCTACCTACGTTCATATCGTGAGCCCAATCTATCAAGTCTCTCATCATGGGCAGACTAGATGGCAAAGTCGCCATCGTGACCGGTAAAACGCATCCTCATCAATCCTCTCACATCTCACTAACGACCTCATCAGGCGGCGGCTCAGGCTTCGGCGCCGGCATTTCAAAAGGCATGGCCTCTGAAGGCGCCAAAGTCCTTGTCTGCGACATCAACCAGTCAGGCGGCGAAGCGACGGCAGCCACAAACCCTTCCTCTCTCGCCTTCCACAAGATGGACGTGACCAAAACGTCGGACTGGAAAGCTACTGTCTCGGCTTGCATCGAGAAGTTTGGGCGCTGCGATATACTCGTCAATAACGCTGGTTGGTCATATACCAATAAACCTACGACGACGGTCACGGAGGACGAGTTCGATAAAGTCTTCGACGTCAATGTCAAAGGTGTTTATCTTGGCTGCAATGCGTGGGTCGATCAAGCCATCGAGCGCAAAGAAGGAGGTGTGATAATCAACATCGCTAGTGTTGGAGCAACGCGGCCACGGCCAGGCTTGGTATGGTACAACGCGAGTAAAGGCGCGATTTGGAATGTACGTCATCTCCCAACTCTGTCCCAATGACGCATCGAGCTCCCAGTTACTAATGCATACTTCAGGCGACAAAAGGCCTCGCGGCGGAGTACGGGCCCCATCAGATCCGTGTCGTGTCCATTTGCCCCCTTGTTACAGGAACAGGTCTCTTCTCTGCCTTTACAGGAATGGAAGATACACCGGAGAACAGGACAAAGTTCACGTCCAATGTACCCATGGGCAGGATCGGTGAAGTGGACGACGTGGTGAATGCGTGTATCTTCATGGCGAGCAAAGAGGCTGGCTTCATTACAGGAGTTAATCTGGAAGTGGATGGTGGACGCTGTATCTAGACTAGCTTTGGTGGAGAGGAGGGAACTCAAAATGAGCTTCGAGATGGATCATCCCTAGGAACAGCTCCATAACGCTGTCGTATCTCATGGATCTGAGCCTAGCCGTCCATATACACATCCTCATCCTCACCATCCTCCGCCTCATTTTCTTCTTCTTCTTGATCATCATCATCACCATCGCCATCGCTATCCCCCTCATCATCATCATCATCATCATCATCATCATCATCATCCCCTTCCTCCATTTCATCTCCGTAATCCTGCTCAACTCCGTCCTCGTCATCGTCGTTCTCGTCTTCCTCATAGTCCCACGCCTCATCCGTCTCAAGCAACTCCTCAATCTCTCTCCTCCTCCTAGCCTCATCACTATTCTCATCCACACCGTCAACCAGCGCATTCTGCACAAAAGCACCCTTTCTGTCCTCTTTACCCAGAGCGATCTCTCTGTCAACCTCCACAGCCCAGCCTTCCCACACGGCACCCCTCTGAGTCGCCGTCATCCTTCCCCTACTGGCCCTCCACCTCTTTGTCAATTCTCGCTCCCTCGCTACTGGAGATTCCATGATCATCATCTCATAAGCTTGCTTCACCTTTTCATAGGCAGCGCGATGCGCTATTGAAGGTCTTCTATCCGGTGCTGCATAGCTCTCCAGTACCTGATAGTGACCTTTTCGCACTCTGTCTTGCGCGTTGGCCCACACGCCCAAGGGAAGAAAGACTGCGCGATTGAGGGTGATCTTCCCGCTCTTAGGATGTGTGTATCCAAGGAGGAAGGCGTCGGTCTCGGCTACTCCGTTGTCGCCTAGCTTCAGTCCGCCGGGACCGATGGTGTTTGCGGGTATGACGATCTTGGGCATATAGATTTGAACGGGAATACCGCGATGAGATGTAGTAAAGGGAGAGGTGGCTAGTAGACTTGGTGCAAATGATGAGAGAGGAGAACCTGGTGGTCGAAGGTTAAGTGGAGATGGAGCAGTGCGCTGCATAGTCGCCTGAGGAGGAGCCAGCAGAGAATTTGGAGGGGGCAGTTGGCGCTGCTGAACAGATCCACCCGGACCAACTGGTCTGCTAAGACTTGGCAGGTCTGGTGCCCGTGGTAGGGGTGGTACAGCATTCGGAGGTCGCTGACTATAGCTAGTGGTATGACCCTGTGTCTCTTGAGCAGCTACTAGGCGCTGTGCGAAAGCCGGAGGTGGTGCATGATCAGAGCGTCCTAGTGGCGTTGGCCAAGATGAAGCGTGAGCTTGCTGAGACAAATTTGGTTGGTGAGTATCAGACTGGAACCAGGCAGGGGGAAGACCCGCCGGCGGAAGGGTCAAAGGATGAGCCCCGTATCCAGATGGAGAATGATGGTGGTGTTCAAATCCAGGTGGTAGTGGCGGTCGAGCAAAAGGACCGAAGCCTCCTTGGGAACCCCTAGGCGGTTGGTATTGAGAAGGTAACTGCGGTTCAGATACGGTAATATTTGGAGCTTGAGACACCGCCGGAACATTTGGTTGAGGATAAGGATGAGGACTTTGCACACTAGCTCGTCCAGCTTGGGCATTCTGCTGGGACATCACTCGACTCACAGCCAGACTCACCTGCTGCTTAAGTATCCCTATCATTTGGTCTGCGGGATTTGGAGTGATATTCCGCATGAGCGCCGCAACATTTGGTAGTGTCTGTTCCGCAGCAGATGCAACTTCTGTAGTAGGTAGAGCGGCATGGCTTGATCGGTGTCGCAGGTGGGGGAACAATGTCGTGTCAGGAATGAACGTGTTCAGAGGTTGAGTGGAGGTCATCGCAGGCGGTGGGCGCGGTAGCGGTGGTAGGTTCGGGCGAGGAAGCGTTGCAGGCGGTGGTAGGGATGGACAGGGAAGCGTCTTGAGCGATGGGAGGTTCGGACGAGGAAGCGATGTAGGCGATGGCAATAAGGGTGTAGGCAGCAGACGCATTCTGGCCCTTGGGGCACTCATGCCGTCGTCTGAATCTTCATCGGTACTCCCATCGCCGTGATTGTTGTTGTTCAACCTACCGCCATCAAAGTTGCCTGAAGAACGTGGGATCGATGGGAAACTACTACGCGCGAACATCGCTTGCAAACCCGCTTTGTCTCTTGCACCTCGGAACAGCGTACTCTTCATCTTGCCCACAAGCGGTGTAGGAACGATGTTGATCCTTTGGAGTTCCTCATCTTTGGTCTGCTGGATCTTGCGCAATATACCGTCAGTCACATCCGGGCGATGGGCGTGAATAGTCGTGGTAGGGATAAGAGGGACACCCGATGGACTTCGGGGAGGAGCACTGCGCGCAGCAAACTGAGCCTCGTCCGCCAATTTGTTGCTGATGGAAATTTCCAATTGCTTCGCCCTATGTCGCTCCTTGAGCGACTTGAAAGCCTGCGCAAGTTTTGCGTCCTTCTCGTAGTTCTTGAGGCCGCCTGCGTCCACGAGCGTTGGCGTCTCCTGCAGGCTCATTGTCTGATCTCTGTGGTAGTCTCGCATGTTCTGGGCGGTGACTCCTGCTTCTACGAGTAAGAAGAACGCGCGTTGTCGCGATTTGAAACAAGCTTCGTAATACTTGGCTCGCTTGTACTGGTCTCGAGGGACGTTGATGAGAGGTGGCAGAGGCTCGTCTAGCTTTGGGGGCTGGATGCCGAAGTGTACTTCGCGGTACTTCAGACGTTCGCTTTCTTCTGTCTTGCGTTCGAGTGCCGCTAGGTCGGGCTTTTGTCGCATCTGGGTGGTTGTGTCACCGCCTTGTCCGTCCTTCCCGCTGTCTTGGGCGACACCTCTTGCTTGATTAATTTCCTTTTTGGCTTCCTGAGTGACAAGAAATGGATGATATTCAAAGTCCCACAAGCTTGGAATCTCGCCATGTAGAGCCGCCTTCAGAGCCTTTCCGTCTCCTTCGTAAAAGTCGATCCACCTGTAAAGGAATTCGATGAAGTTGGGCACCACTGTGCTGTCGACCTGCACGATATCGACCAGAATGCGCAACATGTCCTCCTCGTGCAAGAGATCGGGATCTATACAACGAGCATGCAGAGTCATCGGAGGCGCGTTGCTGGCCGGTCTCTGCGCGGTAGGGGTGTTCGGCGGGTCCAAGTCAAGGCGAGGCCTCTTTGCTGATTGCGATGCCGCGAGGGACTGGCGATCCGCTGTCTGACTGACTTCCCACTGCACACACCACGTCCACAGCTCCTTGCCCGTCTCCAATGCCTTGCGCTCCGTGAAGTCCTGGAGAAGCGCGAAGAAAATGTCATGGTTCGTGTCCATTCGGTAGGCGATGGCGTGAGCCTTGTACTGCTCATAAGGTACTAGAGTGGGTAGCGGGTCGACGTTGCCAACAACATCTTGTAACTCGAGATAGCGCTCGTCGAAGAGGTCCATGACCTTGCCATGGGACGCCATGGTTGCGCAGGCGGCTGCGTTGTTGTTCAAGACGAAACCGAAGCGTTGTGGTGTTGCTGGCTGAGAGGTGAGAGGGGAGCTAGGCAAACGCGCGGTGTTGCCATGCGGACGCAAACGAACAATATCAGAGGAAAACGTGGGGAGTAGCTTGAAATTCGAGGACCAGGATCACGGGATGACGCAACGAAAGAGATGGTGCACAAGCAGCCTACCATACTACTCGGAAAATCTATGCTGGTCGTATTGCAAGCCCGAATATTTGTACAGTCGCCAGAGGGGTATCGTCGCAATCGTGCCATAGCGCCGCCTTCGCTTGCTCCTAGTATACACGCGCGACCACACGCTCATTTACTGCTCTCCCTGATCTTCTGCATAATGGCGCTTGCCCTGTCCTCGGCCTCTTCCCGTACTCTCCGCCAATCTGTTGTGTAGACCTTCTTCACGCCCTCCTCGAGGCTTCTGTTCCAGCGGTCTTTGGCCATCTCGGCTAGTCCGACGGGTGCTTCCCGGCTTGTGGGCTCTGGTTCTGGCTTCTTGGGCTCGTAGAATTCGGTGAGGACTTGGCGTTGCTGTCGTAGGAGCGCGGCTTGTGTGATGCGGTTTTGTGTGTGTAGGGAGATGCTGAGGTAGAGAACGCCTGTGGTGAGTGTGACGCCTCCGAGCTGCACAGGTTAGCTGGTGCCATTGCAAGGGATGGGCAGCACTTACGAAGCCTGTGATGAAGCCCATGGCTACGCTGGAGATGTGTCGGGGAGTGCGCGAGGATGACGTGCACGGGTGCTTTTGCTGGATGCGTCGGGGGCCAATGGCTGGGCAGACAGATGTGCTGCGTCCGCTTGCTATCCCTCTATCGATGTGAGGGGCTATCCAGGGCGAATACACGAGAAGGTCCAGGTCGTGGAAAGTTGACTCGGGTGTGAGGTCAGCGGAATCGCGCAATGGCCTGCCAGGATTATTCCATCCCAAAGCGGCAACATGTTCAAGATCCGTTGAACGCTGCTAGCGCCGCTTCCTCCTCCATCGGCGCATCCCCTCACACTCCAGCCTCTCCCTGTAACCATGCTTTTTCTCTCAAAAGCCCTTGATTTCATCGCCATCATACCCACATCATGTTCCGTCGTCGCGCAATCTCAATGGATACCATTAGTTTTTCGTCCGTTGTGCTTACGCATGTGTCCTCGCGACTCCTCAAGCTAGATTATGCACCTTCAAGCGTGTGCATGGCCAGGTAGCGACTGCACCCCCCCGGGTTCATATGCACATGTCGTTCGCGGGGTTCTCAGTGGTACGTAGGGAACTGCCGTACCTACACACCATCACAGAGTGGTTGCACACAAGCTTGGCACATCTACTTAACAGCGTCCGATGCCTACACTGCAGCTGCCCACTGGACATCCTCGGTTTGATCAACACAATCGCGACAACTGAAAATGGCGTTGAATGAACTTTTGCGAGTGCCTTCTGCAACCAACATCCTTCTTCTGCTTGCAGCGTACTGGGTTATGTGGATCGTCTATTGTCGTACACTACATCCACTTGCACGTGTACCGGGCCCGTTATGGCCTGCCATCTCGCGAACGTGGCTCAGGTGCACACGCTCCAACAAATCGTGCGGCAAGAGAGATGCTAATTGCTGAGTAGTAAGAACCCCTTCAAATCTGCATTGTTATTGCCACAACGAACTTGCAATCACTGCTTTCAGTCCCAAGCTCGGGAAGTAGCTTGTTCAACAGCCAACCATGCTGACACAGAACTAACCAACAGTGTACCGCATGTTTCTCGGTGATCTTGAAGTTGTCCAACGCGAGCTACACGAGCAGTATGGTCCTCTTATACGCATTGCTCCAAACGAAGTTAGCTCCAGCGATTCAGACGCGATATCACTCATCTACACTACCCAGAAACCTTTAACCAAGACGGACTGGTAAGTCACGCTTACAGGTACCATACGCACGCTGTGTATGACTGCTAAATTGGCAGGTATGTTTCTTTCCGCCCACGAGGTATAAGCGAGCACGCAGACCTCTTCACCGAGACAGACGAAGAGAAGCACACCAGGTATCGTCGGATTGTTCAGCCTGCCTATCAAATGGTCAGCATTCTGAAGCATCAAGATGCGATCGATGATTGCACAAACTTGTTGAAAGTGCGACTGGACAAATTTGCCAAAACAAACGAAGAGGTAGATCTGGGGCTTTGGCTCGAACTATTTGCTCATGATGTAATTGGGCACATCCTTTTCGGCCACTCCTTTGGTTTCTTGGAGAAAGGTACACACGTGGATTCCTTTATTGAATCTGTACACAACGCTGCCCCGCTTCTTGCTTTCAGTACTGCGGCACCGACCTACATGCGCAGCATCATCATGCTGGCCGCCATGTGTGTTCCTAGTAATTTGAAGCAGTTCAAAGGCGTACAAGCTACCGTGGTGGAAGCTAAACGCCAGACACAACTTCGACTACAACGCTCGGCAGAAGCGGACGATCAGAGTCAAGACATCCTTGCTCAGCTCCTGCGTAAAGTGGGACAGAAAGATAGTGAAGCTTGGTTCACACACAAAGAAGTCACACTGGAGTCTTGGGCTGGTATTATGGCTGGCGCTGATTCTGTCGCCGTCAACTTGAGGGCAGTTTTATACTACCTTATAAGGACGCCCGATGCCATGTCTAAAGCGACCCAGGAACTACAGACCCAGCGACACCTCCTCAGCACACCTGTCAGCTTCGCAGAATCAACGAAGCACCTACCGTATATCAGTGCGTGCATTAAAGAAGCCTCTCGCCTTTTCCCAAGTACCGGATTCAACATGAGTCGTATAGCTCCTGCACAGGGTATTACCCTGTCTGGCGTCTACATCCCGGCTGGATACCACGTCGGTATCAATCCGCAGATAATACAATACGACAAGAAGCTCTTCGGCGAAGACGCTTTGGAGTTTCGACCAGAGCGCTGGCTAGAGAGCGAGGCCAGAAAATTTGAGATGGAAAGGGGGATGCTGCTGTTCGGTGCAGGAAAGAGAACATGTATCGGGAAGAACGTAAGTTTCCTACGAGAGATACATTGTACTAAGATCGCCTCTTCTGTTGGTATACTGATCACACATCTTCCTTAGGTTGCCTTGGCGGAAGTTCACAAACTCGTTCCAGAGCTCCTCCGCTGTTTCGACATGCGTATGGCTCATGATCGACCCTGGAAGACGTTCAATGCTGGGTTTGTGAGGCAAAGTGATGTCGTAGTCAGGCTTGCTGTACGCTAGAGATGGAATGTATCTTTTCCTCCAGCTTTTGAAGTAGGGTGACTTCTCGGAGTATTTGTTTTCTTCGCTCTCTCATTCATCACATAGTCAGTCGTCGATTATGCGGCCTAGCCTACAGACTCATTTGGTATGCGGCGCAAGAGTTGAAAGGCCAGAGTGTCCAATTGAACGTATGTCTATCTAGCTTTCATTTCCAGGAATCCTCCAAGTTATCGAGCACATTGTCTGCGCTTTATTGTTCCACGTGGTACTCTATGATCCGCCGATGATATCTGCTGTATGGGTCGGCTTTCCTTCAGCCCCCGTCTTGTCCGCACCACTATCGCGGTACTCATCCAGCGACGGCGTGTCGGCATAGCACATCTTCATGAAGCTCTCGGGATAACGTCCACCGCTAACCTCTGCCTCTTCGCACGCCTTGCGAATCTTCTGTTCCTCCTCCTTGCTTAGCTCAACCTTCACACTCCCGACGTTCTCCTCCAGGCGCTCAGGCTTGGTAGTACCCGGGATTGGGAAGATGTCGTCACCCTGTGCCATCAACCACGCCAGTGTCAACTGACCAGGCGTAACGCCCTTCGCCTTCGCAATCTCGGTGATGCGGTCCACGAGCTTCAGGTTTTTGGGGAAGTTCTCGGCACTGAATCGGGGCGCATAGCTACGGAAGTCGCCTTCCTCAAAGTCATCTGGGCTCTTGATGGCGCCAGTCAGCATACCGCGACTTAGTGGTGAGTACGCCACAACTGCCACGCCAAGCTCGCGGCATGTCTTGAGTAGATCGACTTGCTTGCTCTCGATCTCCAGCGCGAAGGGTGAGTATTCGACCTGTACGGCGGAGATGGGGTGGACCTTGTGCGCTCTTCGTAGAGTCTCAGAGCTGACTTCTGACAGACCGAGATACTTTACTTTCTTGAGATTGACAAGGTCGGCCATGGCTTGCACGGTGAGCTCAATTGGCGTCTTCTGGTCGACGCGGTGACAGTAGTAAAGGTCCACCTGCTCGATTCCGAGACGCTGAAGAGACTTCTCGATGGCTACTTTAACCTGAAAGTAGGTTTAAGAAGTCAGCGTATGTCTCAGTCGCAGTTTTTCAATTAATTGACTGACGTGTTCTGGAGAAGTGTCGATTGTACCCATCGAGTCCTTGAAAGCAAACTTGGTAGCAAGAAAGATGTCCTTGCGCTTGTCTGGGTTGGCCTTGAACCACTGTCCGATCAAGTCTTCGTTGTCGCCGTAACTAGAATAGCTGTTAGCTGTTGTCAGACCCAATGACCCGATAACCATACACATCAGAAGAGTCCCAGAAGCGTTCGCCTAGCTTATGGGCCAAGTCAAGCATTGCCAGACGTTCAGAGTCAGGCTTCGGCTTGCCATAGAATGAGGACAAGCCCATGAGGCCGAAACCCAGGCGGTTGACTTGAGGGCCATCGCGACCGAGAGGTGCAGTGGGCAGAGACATTGTGGTATTGAGTAATGAGGTTTGGTTCAGATAAAAGACAGATTGTTGTGCAATTCGACCGGAAGGGACTTAGTTTTAAGTGTGAAAGAGGCACTGGAACGGACGAAGTAAAATAAGCTTAATTATCGGGTACCTGATTGCAATGACGCTGGTATCCCACCCGCATTGACCTCACTTGCCACTAACTTCTTAACCCCGCTATGCATGAGATCATACCTATGCATCTGCCACGAGTACTGTAGCTTCACATCCTATTGAGATGTAGTACCTCAACGGAGATTGAAACCTAAGGGCCGACTCTGTGAGCAATTTGTTTGTTCGTCCGAAGAATTGAGCATCGTGAAATTCCCCGCTCTGGAGTCGGCGGAGCAAGACGGAGATAAGCTACCAGAGCTCCGGTCACATGGCTGAAGCCTGAAGGAGGTACCAGTTGGTCCGGAGTGAAGCATCAGGCATCCAGGGTGTATTTGACGCGTTGCGCGTTGTGTCGCATGGCATGGAGGTCTCTCACGCGTCGCGGCAGGCGACAAGGTTCTATCCCCAAGGTTCCCGCCAAGCTCCCCGATGACCAAGTTAGCGTCCGTCAAACCTCACTACATCACACCTCCCCCATCAATGCATACCCTAGTACCTTCTTTGTAATGCGGTCGCCATGCTTACGCGACGCCGACGTTCAACCTCAGACAATCTGCTCGCGCACTTACACCTACAAATAATCTAGTAAAGGCAGCACAGCATGACCGCCGAAGTACGCGACCTCAAGCCGCTCAACATCAGACCCGTCCAGCATCAAGTCCACGACCCGCTCAAGACAGACCCTTTCGCCTTCGATCACCACGATGACACCATCCACGTCCTCCTATGCGCCTCAGGTTCTGTTGCGACCATCAAGATACCGAACATGATCAACGCGCTTGCGAAACACGCGAACGTACGAATACGGCTTGTCTTCACGGCTGCGGCAACCAACTTCTTGCAAGGCCAGAGCGGGGAGCAGCCTTCGATAGAGGAGATAGAGGCGTTGCCGAACGTGGACGGAGTATACTTTGACGAGGACGAGTGGAGAGAGCCATGGATCCGAGGCAACAAGATCCTCCACATTGAGCTACGGCGATGGGCAGACATCATGGTCATCGCACCCTTGAGTGCTGACCTACTCGCCAAGATCACACAGGGCTGGTCAGATAACCTCCTACTGTCCGTCGCGCGCGCATGGGATACCACAGGTCTGATCGATCCGGTGAGGAGCATACCAGGCGTGCAATGGCCGCAAGAAGATGGCGGCGTACGGAAGAAGAGGATACTAGTCGCTCCGAGCATGAATACCGCCATGTGGTTCCAGCCCATCACCAAGAAACAGTTGCATGTGCTGGAAGAAGAGTGGGGAGTAAAGAATAGAGGCTGGTATGAGGTACTGCAACCTATGGAGAAAGAGCTAGCGTGTGGAGACATTGGTGGCGGCGCGATGAAAGATTGGAGGGAGATTGTGGAAGTGGTTGAGCAGCGGCTAGGCCTGCTGCCGTGATAGCTTCTCACATGCACTCTTCTTGTACGGTTAGAGTCCCTACTGCTTAGAAAAATACTAATATCTATGTCAGGGATTCAAGCCACATCGTGCTACGCCATCGCATATATACCCGAGCACAGAACGGCGCAGCAAGAGAGAGGGCATACTGCTTCACGTGAGCAAAAAGATGGCATACACAAAAGAGCAAAAAGACAGAACTTAGATAGGTGCCCCTCTCACGCACCGTATGCTGACAGCCTCCTTAATTTCTTAAACCAGACCACGGTCTGTGCTGTCTCGCTTCTGTCTTTGTTGATGCTCGAATCGGCGACCTTGACCTAGCGAGCTGAGCAGGCGATATGCCCAACGGCGCCAGGCCGGACTCGAGTCTTGATGAATAACTCTTGAAAGTCAACGTCTTTATACCAGAGGCTACCAGTTATACTATATCAGAGGTGAGGAAATCCATGTTGCAATGTCGACAGTGACAGTGATGGGCGTTGAGCGTTTGTTGTGGTGGTCGGTGTTGCGAAAACTGAGACCTTCGTTCACCTGGTGACAAGAACCAAACGAGACTGAAACTAGAGCAATGAGAGCGCGATGTCGTCATTTACGCGCCTTCACTTTATGGAGTTTAGCAAAGTTCTCGATCACAATAACATGAACTGTCAGCCTGACGATTACCGCCAGCAGAACAACATGGCGCCCAGCAAGTCCACAGCAAACGCAGATGTCCCAGCCTCCCCGAGCGCTACCTATTCTAGTTCTGTTCTTGCAACCTTGAAGTCGTCGGTAAGTAATCGCTTCTCTCACCTTGGTGTTTGCTTTTGACATGTGGGCAGATACAGAACACGAAAGCGAAGCTCAACGCTCTCCGGCCAACCAAACAACCGAAGGTTACCAAACCAGGAACGAGGAGCAAGACGGTCGACGAGCGAGAGCGTCTCCAACGAACAGCAAAACGACTTTCCGTCATCGATGAGCTTGCTACTGGCCTTAATGTCTCCTCCACCAGCGACGAACTGCGGAGCGACCCCGCAGCGTCATCAATCCTATCCACCGGCTCCGATCCCCATCCTTCGCTCACAGCGCGCGACTTCGAAGTCGGCGGTACGCTTGGTCGTGGGAAATTTGGGCGCGTATACCTCGCCCGTCATCTCGCGACAGATTACGTGTGCGCTCTCAAGATCATATCAAAAGCGCAGGCTACAACACAAGAAGAGGAGAAGTTGATACGCCGCGAGCTAGAGATCCATCAAAACCTCGCGCATAAGAACATCTTGAAGTTACTGTCATGGTTTCACGATGACGAATCGATATACCTTGTGCTCGAATTTGCTCCGGGTGGCAGTCTTTACTCGAAGATGAACAAGCAGCCCAAGGGTAGGTTCACAGAGCACCAAACAGCCGTCTATATCGCTCAACTCACGTCCGCACTGCGCTACATGCATAGCAAAAACATCATGCACCGCGACATCAAGCCCGAAAACATACTACTTGGTTTCCACGGCGAGATCAAGCTTGCTGACTTTGGATACTCCGTACACTCAGAGTCAGGGTTCCGATCAACGGTGTGCGGCACACTAGATTACCTAAGCCCAGAGGTTGCGGTCATGACGCTCAAGCCCGGAATGAGCGGAGGGTGGTACACGAAGGCGATCGACCAGTGGAGTCTGGGCGTCTTGATGTACGAGCTTCTTGTGGGTAAGCCGCCATTCGAGATGAAAGACATGAAGAGCACACAAAAGAAGATTGCGAACTTCAAGGGTAAAGGTATCAAGTTCCCAGGACATGTCAGCGAGCGCGCGGAGGAGCTGATTCGGGAGGTAAGTGTCACCCCCTCGCCATACGTGTGCTCACAATGAAGCCGTACTGACTTCGCAAAAGTTGCTCAATTTGGATGCTGAGAAGCGGGTGAGTCTTGACGACGTTATGACACACCCTTGGATCGTCGACCACGTCGCAAAGTCGGTTCAGTCAGGCATCCGATCATTTGATCAGCTGCTTCAGCTTGGTGCCTGAGGGCCTGATGAGGCGGTGGAATATCGTTACAGATGGGGGCCGAATTGTATGTCTAGTGTCCTCGCCCTGCCAAACAGCGATCTCGTATTTGACGGGCCGAATATGTCGGTTGCCTGATACTTCAGCTTCTGACCTGTCTTGCACCTCGGGAGGCAGCCATATCAAGCCATGTACTACGCACTGTCTCAAAGTGTGCGCTGACCGGTAGGGGATCGGGACTAGTGTTGGCGGGTTCGGGTGAGCATCAGATGGCACTTATCCATGAATGGTATCCCGTTGAGCTTGTAGTCTACCTCAAGATGATGCAACGAGCATCCCGTACAATAAGCCTTCCGCTAGGCAGATCCGATTCGTCATGTTTCTAAATGTGGTAAATTTTGAGAGGTAGTGCTTGAACTGCGTGCACGACATGAGATGTGCCTGTCAAACGTAGAGGTCTTGGCACAACCTCAGGGGCATGTTCATGTTACAGAATGTAACATGAACAACAACATCCATCCATTACGCTCAACATCTGAACATTGCACATTTTCACAAACTCTGGCTGTTCTCACAGCTTGCCATCCTCTGTCAAGAATCTGTCTGGTGGACCCTGACCGGTGGCCGTAATAGCTCTGATCGCTCGCCTAGCCATGCAAGCGCCATGCTGCATTGGATACTCGTCCGCGCCTCACCCTCAATGCTGCATGCTGTGCCATGCTTGGCGCGCTATTGCTGTGCGGTGGCACACCAGCAAAAAGCGACATAGACATGCGAGAAAAAGCTATTGCACTTAGCGTTTGATGATCCCATTGGCGGTTGGACTCGCCTGTGGTCTCGCGCAATTCCAATCCACGTCCCTCAGTAAACGCCTCGATGCACTTGTGTGTTTGAGCCAAGACATAATGTCGCGCCCGCAATGCGCTTTGCAATGGCTTGCATTGTTCCATGGTGCAGAGATGGGCTGTGGACGCCGGATGGGCGGTGCATAGATCGCAGCTGAGCGCTGTTTATTGGTAGGTTGTAGATTTTCAGCCCTACTAGCAGGCTAGCTAATTCAAAGGCGGGTGTCGATTGCGGAGATCCTGACGCTATCACTCATCCATCTGATTGCGGCTCAGGCCTCCCGAGAGCCTAGACCGATGAAGGTAAAGCACTTCAGGGTGCGCCTCTGCTTCGTTTACTCGTTTATACTCCTATATCAGGTAGGAACGTCCTGCAGTCCTTCAGCTGAGACATCACCAGCTTTTGAAGTTCCCAACACTTCGGCTGTCAATTCCCCCTCGGCCACGTGGGTCTCCTACTACTTTGTTGAGCAGTTTACTTTGTTTTATTCACTGCTCGTGCGCCGCCAATAATCCTTCCTATTTCTTCGGACGAGACCGGCCTCGAGGCCAACACACATCATTATGCTGAAGAACACCCTACTCTTGGCTTCAACAGCACTCGTCGCAGCACAATCCTCCTCCTCTGAGCCATGCGCGAGTGTTGCGTCGCAGCTCCAGGAATCAACGAGTATCGAGGCACAGGCCGCGTTTGACTGTCTGGATTCAGTCCCTGTTGACGTCCAAGGAAACTCTCAGCTTATCGATGAGCTAAAGGAGCTTTGGCAGTTCCAGTCTGAACTCGTATGGCTGAAGAAACCTGGCGATGACTGGGAGTTTGGACCCCTGGACATCGAAGCCGAACTGGACAACGTAAAGAACAACCTCGATTCTTTCTCCAGCGAATATGCGGTTCAACTTGCCATCCAAAACATCACTATCCGGACCGGAAATTTCCATTTCAACTACCGGCCTGATATACTTCAGGTGTTCTCATTCTTCAGACAGGCCAATGTTGCCTCCATCTCCGAGGACGGCAAAGCGCTTCCAAAGCTCTATTTGGCTGATGATGTTGCAAGCGTAGCCGAGGGTAGCTCAGATGTTTCCGAGATCACGGAAATCAACGGTCAGAACCCATACGACTTCCTGACGTCTAATGCCTGGTCACAGTACATCGACTCCGATGGACTACTCAACAACATGCTAGCAAAGGGAGACACGGATAACACTGGCGCGTTTATGGATCAAACGAAATACGACGGCCCTAGCACTGATATCACTTGGGCAAATGGCTCTACAGCTTCCGTTCCGAACGGAGCTAGCACAGATCGCAGCTTCGTTGGCGTGACTGATGGACAATCTTTCTTCGATACCTTCTGCGTCGGTTCAACCGATTCACCTCTCTCAGCTAGCACAAAGGGTGTTTCTGATTCCTCCGATGTCGCTCTTCCAAAACCCAAGCTACCTTCTGTATTCGACCATATCGTCGCACCTAGTGCTCCCGGACCAGTTCCTCGAATTCCTCTCGGTACAAATCGCAACAAACGACAGACGATGGGAAGCACCCCTGGTTCCTATGCGGTGAACATTGTTGCAGCAGACTCGAATGGTGTTGTTGTTGGTGCCTTCCTCAGTGGAGAAGGTTATGACGATATAGCGGTCCTCAAGATCATATCATTCAGTAACCCGGGTTCCGACTTGACCGAAAGTGAGTTCGGCACGGATTTCCAGGTAAGTCATTGATACACAGCATGCATAGCAGACAAGAACTGACGTCATCTTCTCCGCCATGTAGCAAACCGTTTCTTCTTTCCTTACCCAATGCGTGAGCGAGAACAAGCAGAAACTCATCATCGATCTGCGCGAGAATGGCGGCGGCAGCACAAATCTACTTCTCGACACATTCATACAGCTGTTCCCCGAAATGGAGCCTTTCTCTGGACAGCGATACAGGGCCAGCGATGCCTTTGTCAAGATTGGCGATGCGGTCAATGAGATCAGAAGTGATCCCGCCAAAGCTAATGAGTATGCCTCATTGCTCAATGAGAGCATAGAAGAAGGCTCCATGTACAGATACTGGTCATGGTGGCACTTCCGCAATGCTGACGGGGCCGACTTCAAAGGCTGGGATGACTTTGATGGTCCGGTCGAATTGAACGGCGACTCATTCACGAGGACAATGCGGTACAACTATACCGATCAAGTGTCTATCCTCCCCCCTGACTGGTATTTCACGAACGGTACTCGCCCCACCCCCTTCAAGGCGGACAACGTCGTCATGTACACCGATGCCCTATGTGGTTCATCCTGCGCTTCTTTCCACGAAGAGCTAAAGAACATCGCCGGTGTAAAGGCAGTGACAGTCGGTGGCCGTCCAGAGAACAAGCCCATCCAAACTGTGACCGGATCAAAGGGTGGTGGTAAGTAACATCCCTGTAAGCTTTACATATGAGACATGCGCTGACATGGTACACTGTGATTTAGAAGTAACCCCTCTGTTTTTCTGGCAACAGTACGCCCAAGTCGCATTGAACATAAGCACCGCTCTTTCCCTATCGGCCTATTCTGACAATGACGCCGCCCTCTCTGCCGTCGCCAACGTCCCGCAAGTACTTACACGCGCCGGAGACCGATCATCGCGCCTTCAGTCCCAAGACCAGGTCCGAAAAGGCGATGCTTCTGGAACACCTCTCCAGTACATCTACGAAGCCAGTGACTGCAAGATTTTCTACACTGCGACTACCTACGCTGATCCTGATGCTGCTTGGAAGCAAGCCTGGGACGCCTTCCAGGATGACAGCAAGTGTGTCGAGGGCTCTACGGGACATGCGAGTTCCATCTCCGGAGGCTTCAAGGCATACGGTCCGGGTGAGCTGAAGGCGGAGGATCAGCCCAAGGGAAATGGAGGCGGAAGCGGAGGCAGTGGAAACGGGGATGACGAAAGCGCTGCGAGCATTGGAGGAGTAAGTGGCTTGGTGATTACCGCTGCTGCTATCATCAGCGCTATGATGCTGTAGATAGGCTGTTGTATTTCCGCCATCGTGTTCCAATGTTCATAGCAACTTCGCCTGTCCATTTCCTATACAATGCGACACCTAATACCAGTGCACTTCTCAGATTTGCAGTGTCGACCAAAGTTGAATTTGCGATTAATCTATGATACCAACCCCCCCACATGTTCCCATCCCATCATTATATAACCCGGGGTATATCGTCATCTATCGTGCTTCACGTCCTGTTTCCAGACTGGCCTAGTTGGGCCGCAGCACAACGTCTCCAACACAAAGCACCATGTTCTTGAAGAATCTTCTCCACTCTAAAGGATCTCCACTAGCTTTGACAAACCTCACCTCCCAGTAGGCACTTCCATCGTAGACGGCCTTTTCGATGACGATATGGCCATTCAAGCCTTGTCGTCTTCCATCTGCCATCTTCACCCGTATAGAGGCTGTCCCCGCTTTTTCCGCTTCCTCGATCTGCGTCTCGGTGAAAGACGGTGAAGGGACGCCTAGCCGGTGCAGAGCTGTAAGAAGGAGCGGCAAGAGGAGACCCAGGTTGTGCGGAGAGATGAAACGCGCCAGGGAATAGGATGGAAGAATATCGGCGAACTTTCGAGCTGCTTGCGTAAAGGTCAGAGGTACACCTGGGGTTGAACTGAACTGTGTCATGGATGGGTCCTGCGACAGCATATCCTGTGTCGATGAGGGAAGCTGTGATAAGCAGGGCGTAGAGCTCATGTTGATAGGACGATTGTCGGGGATCGTAACAGGCTGCGAGGCGGAGATGCCGTCGTGAGAGGCGAGGCGTGGGGGTCGCTCCCAGTCGAAGGGTGTTTCTGCTGATGGAGTCTCGGGCTGTGTGGAGGAGAGGAAGTTTACAGCGCTTGAGCGGCGAGGGTCTGTGTCAGTGTCTATGTCCATCGCATCGCCATCTTCGTCTGCATCTTGCGAGAATTCTCTTTGTGACTGCGTTGGCGGCCTCGTGAAGTCGATGCGTAGTTGCGACAACATCTGTGTCGCCAATCCTACTGGATTTGCATTGCGTCCGCTTGCAGTCAGGTACGGGTTCTTGCGTGTACACCAGGGGTGTGTGCGTATCTCATCGAGAGTAAAGCGCTCTTTCGGGTCGACTTTCAGCATGCCGCGGAGCAGACTGAGTAGCTCCGCTGGGATCTTACTCCAGAGTTCATCAGTAGTGTGTCCCCCAGTTTCGACGTACTCCTTGAACTCTGCAGAGCGCTTGGTTGGCTCGTCCCAAGGGGTGTTGCCAACTAGGAGGACGAAGAGCACAATGCCGCAACTCCAGACATCGCAGATGTTCGCCGCGTAGCCAGTGTCGAGCATATCGGCCCTCTTGCTCCGCCTCCCTGATACGATTTCTGGGGCGATGTACGGCGGCGAGCCACATACGGTGTTGCAGAGTCGCAATTGCCCGTCCTTTTTGAACAATGCTGCCAAACCGAAATCGGAGAGTTTGAGATCCCCCTCGGCGCTCAGCAACACATTCTCAGGTTTGATGTCTCGATGCGCAACACCCATGCTGTGCATATATGCCACGGCGTTGACCAGTTGCGTGAAGTAGAGATGCGCAATGTCTTCGCCCACACCTTCGTCCGCCTCGATCTTGTCGAATAAGTCTCCGCCCTCGGCCAGCTCCATGGCGATCCACGTCCATAGCGCATCCTCCCCAGACCCCAAGCAGTGTATGATGTTCTGGTGCTTCCCGAGATGTGTGTGTAGGACGACCTCCATCTTGATTTGTTTCGGAGTGAGGCGGCCGGTCTTGAGGGCATGTTCTTTGTTGATGAACTTGATCGCGATGACGGGTTTGGGCGAGTTGTGCGGGACGGCCTTGCGGATGCTGTAGATCTACTATGAGCGAATGACTCCCAAAACTCGACGAGGAGAGATTACAACGTACGAGGCATATGCGCCTTGCCCGATCGTCTTACTCACGAGCCGGAAGGGCAGGTTTGTAGGCAGAGGAGCCATCTGGCTGTTGGGCGGCGCCGGGCCCATGGTGTCGAGGTGTAGAGGAGGTATGTGCGGGGAAGCAAGTTGAAAGCGATCGAGGACAGAGGTTCTGAGATGCGCGAATGAGACCCGGTGGTACTTTGTGGTGTTGACTGTATGTTGGTGCCTAATCGCCGCTATCGCAACAGTCTCGAGGATCGCGTCAGACCCGAAAACAGAGCGCACGGACTGGATGCCACGCGCAACGCGAACACGCCAGCTCACGTGGTCGCGACGCTTCCAAGGTTCCAAGATTTGTCTCGTGTCAACCGATCTGCCTCGGCCCAAGATACCGCATGCCGAAACCTTCTTTCCACCCATGGAAGCCTTCCGCACTACCCCCTTGGCTCTCGGACGTCGTTGCCTACCTACCCCGAATGTAGCATCAAAACCCGCGATTCCCGCGAGACACAAGCCTTCTTCGTTGCAAGCCACAAATGCCTGGGTTCGCAGAGGCTTGCTCGACGGGGAAAGTGTACCTGTCGATCGCGACTACGCGTCGTACCATAAGCAGGATCGGAGTACGCGGGCCTAGACGTTTGGCGCTACAAGCAACAACTAGCAATGCATGGCATCGAGGACGGAGCGAGTGAAGACCCTGCCCATCAAATCCAGTGGTCCATTCGTACAAGTACAGCAGACGTGCAGATCGCATACTGCTCTTTCCCAATCACCAGGACCTCTACGCTGTCTGCGTCTCTCCGACTTCATCTGCACAGGTGAGAAACTTCCCGTTACCTTCTCACCTTACACTTTATGAGTAATCTGTGGAGTAAGCTTAGCGCCACTGACATTCGAGTCTCTTCTTCTATCCTACACCGCGACGCTTGCAAAACTTACCATATTCTCGGGACCGAGTGCACGTTTTCTGCCACCCAGCATGACCATGTGGCATTTCAAACTTTAACTACACGATGCAGGGTCCCCCCTTTTCACACTGGACAGAAGAGGATGCTCGTAGACTTGTCGGAGGGTTCATGGGGACAAAACGCTACCACCTGCCATATACATCAAATGCGAGACGCAACCACGGCTGTTCGAGACGGAATTAGTCATCCGCAATCCATGTATATTCCCCTGCATCACCTGCATCTGACCGAAGAGACCACGACTGCGGAGTACACCAAACTCCATGGGAACTGCGCCGTTTGTTCTAAGAAAACCCTATCTAACAAACCTAATCTGCAACCCACTGAAAGCCACTGCACGGCTATATGCGGTCGGAGATGCACGATGGTCACCGGCCCGAGAGGGTTGTTCCGAAGTCGAGTCGCAAACGCTGACTATGCAGCGGAAGGTGCAGGTGGCTGACGTACTCAGCAAGTACCGGCGTTTTGATCGCTTGTGATGCATGTGCCTTGTAGATCTGAGCTCGGCATCGAGGCACGAGTATCCGACAATCATATCACGGTAAACAAAGAAAATAGAGGCTTGGCCCACCGTGTTACCAAGTTGCTGGCATCGCCGTTGTGTACCCTGCATTCACTTTGATGGTATGACAGTTCTCACCCCTTGAACCTTATCACCGCATGAACACCCCATCTCACGTACACCTTCCGTTCATTCGATTTCTCGGAGCTTTCACCGAAAGCGAATTCCGACAACGACTCTCGGCACCGAGCTCCGATGCGTAGCCTTGCCCTCCGCCAAACAGCTTCCCCGGTCTTCCTCCGCACCAACCACGGACCCCGGAGCACATCGCCTGCGCCAGCAACGCACCACATCTTCGGTGATCTCCATCGATGTCACCAGCCTACCAGCAAACCCCACAGAAGTAGCTTTCGGAGTTAACTTCAGAGACCCCTGGCACTTTCGCTGATCAACATGATTCGCGAAGTCCGGTCAAGTCTTGCGTCCTGACTTCTGACAGATGATGAGGCAGGGTATGTCCGGTCGTGCTGCTGCGAAGATAACTGAGATGTTCGATCAGAGGGGGTAGCGCTAGGGGATGCTAAAGAGTTTGGGCCCAGACTTGCAAAGGCGTGGTCGATGTTTTCACGAGGGTGGTGCGCATGTTTATGTAATGCGGAAGCTGAGGGTAAGGCGGCCGTGCAGTCCAACAATACAGGCATGCCATGGCTTGCTACTGTTGAGCCCATTGGTTGCGTTGACGTCGTCACCAGCAATAAGACAGAATATGTAGTATCGTTATGAGTTCTTCTATAGCATGAGGGTATCATCGGAAACCTCCTATTAGGGTGCGCTAGGGTTCAGTCGCATCGCATCGTAAGTCCGATGCGAATCAAGTGCCTTCGTCTGTCGTACGGGTGCCTTCCCCACATCCAACATCATGGTCACCCTTCCTCAACCTAAACTGACAAAAGACTCGGCCAGAGAACCGTGGCTATGTCGACCCAATCATCCCCATTGAGACTCTCGCTTGTCGGAAGGTGTAAAAGTTACGGGAATAACAGCCGGAATACAGCCGCAGTGGTTGCCCCAGATGAGTGATCTGGGCAATTTACTGCGAATTTCGGTCTCAAACTTTCGTATCGGTCGGGGAAAAGAAGAAAAAGAGATCAGCTTCCAGCTTCGGTTGTTGGAAACGTTTCGTGACGAGTGCTCGCAGATCGCCATCCCGCTATGACCGCCTAGGTGAAGAAAGAAAAAGAAATGACAACAAAGGTAAACAGAAGGTCGAGTAGGTCTAAGGAAAGAGGAACAGTCCCACAAACGACCACCCGATGCTAATGTTTTGGCCCGGAACCCCAAAAACGCCGCAGTCTATGACTCGATGCAATGGAGTAGGAGAAGAGGTCGATGAGCCGAAAGAAAAATGCATCAAGAAAGTGACGCCAGCTATCCAAGTAGGGCTGTTAGGCCTGAGATGGTTCAGCACTCGCATATCGTCGTCGTTTTATCTTGCGGAGAGATTCAGAATCGGTCGTGAAGGTGGCGCGATATTCATTCTATGATCGGGTGGCAGTGGGCGAAGCGACGTAGGCAGATGCAGCGGCGGCATCAAGACCACGGAGCTGAGGGCCGTACTTGGCATGCTTGACGAATTTGGGCACAGAGTCCTATGGTGAGATTAGCAACCCATCACAATCACAAATGTGGAAGTTAGCACGTACGCTAGACATCAGCTTGAAGATGGACTGCTGAGCCTTCTCGAATAAGGAGGCGACTTCGTTAAGACTCTGCAACATGGCTGCATCGTCGCCAACGGCACGAGTCATGCGAGTAGCCAGCTGTGTGCGAAGACTGTGGTCGATGTTGAGCTCATTCGGAGAGCCGGGAGCCAAGAAAGCATTGTACAGACCTGGATTTGATTAGAGATTGTTTGTAAGTTGGACAGTGTTCAGTCTTACCGTATGCGGCAGCAAGTGTCTCCCGAATTGTTTCGACCTTGTTATCACCCTTGTCGTTGATAGCGTCCCGATATTGCTTGTTGAACTGTTGGACCTCAAGGTAGAAAGAGAGGTTCTCCTCGCACATGGTTTCCTTGAGGAACTCGCGGTACAATAGACGCCATGAAGGGTTACGGATGATGACGTTGGTACGGTTGCTGTTGGAATCGCGAGCAACGCCATCTCTTGACTTCACTGCTACATCTCCGCCTGATGGTACTTCCTCGAGGAGCCAGCCGGCGACGCGCTCGCCGTGATTGGTGATGTAGTAGTGCACCTGCTTGGAAGGTTGGAACTGGTGTTCTGAGTTGCGAGGATCAACTGGGGCGATGAGTTTGAGCTGCAAGAATAGCGAGCCAACCTCAATAGCTTCACGGGGGTCAACCATAGTTGAGCAGTCCATCAACCACTGTGCGGCGTTGCGTCCGTTGAAGGTGTACTCAAATTGGCGCTGAGAAGTAGGTCGGTGTTTGACAAGCTTGACCCCGACATCACACTTTGAAAACTCATGTATCGAGTCAGAATCTGACTGGGTCTCATTGGCAGTGGTACCAATAAAGCGGCGAAAGATGATCTCAACCGTCTGTTCATCATGATGAAGCTTGTCGGTCTCAGTGTTGCGCTCGAGAACAACCAGTTGTCTCGGGTTCCTGTTAGACTCAATGACAGCCTTGACGTGGGCTGAAGCGATGCCGTTGCGGGTACAAAAGCGCTCCAGAATGTGAATGCCCTTGGGCGTGAGTTGCCAGACCGAGCTCTTATTCATGAAATCCGTTTTACCTTCAACCGACTCAACAAATTTAGCCTCAAGAAACTTCTGGCAAACGGAGCGAGCCATCTCCTTGGCCATTGAGAAGGTGGTCGTAGTGGTCGTCGTGACGACACGTGATGAGTCCTTGGGATCTGGCATGCGGTTGGACTGAGAGAATTTGAGGGATCCAAGGTTGGTAATGGCTTCATCCGATGTAAAGGTGAAGTCGATCATCCTAAAGCGAACGCGGTGTGCTGTGAGGGGAAGCGAAACCATAAGCGTCGAGAAGAGGTCCTTGAAGTCCTGGATTGATGTGTTAGCAACATTCTTGCCCACGCTCAAAATTTGGTACTGCTATAGCAGCGGCTGCGGGAAGTTTCAAGGCACAACGCAGGTGTCAGATTGCGGGCGCATTCCGAGCACGCGGCATTCCCGGTAGAAATTCAAATCGGTCCGAAAAAGCACGCAGTAAATCCAGTACTACAACAAACCTCCACCATTCCATAGACACGTGGATATCTCGGGAATATGGGATATTGCTCGTCGCAGCTGATCGCCCAGTGGTTCTGCGCAGACTTCAGAAGGGTGGCTCCTTTACTCTTTGGTGGCTTTTGGAAGTGTATCATAGTGGTTACTGTGACCAACTTCCCAAGCTTTCCCCAAGTGGTCGCTGTTGTCTCGAAGGAATAGTACCTACTAGGAAATCCAGCTCCATGGGATGTGACGGAGGTAACGAAATTATGGGCTGGGCCGATCTCGGCGGATTCAAAAAGTTGATAGATGGTTGTACTCACCCTTGTAAAGGGCCGCTCATCGTCGGTCATGCGGAGTAACCGCGAACTTGTTTGATGCATCTTGTCGGGCTTGCCTGCTCTCGGCCTGTCTGGCAACCGGTGTGTGTTTTC